AAACGTTGAATTGAAATCTTTCTCCACTAAATTTTCACGTCAACTGGGCAATCGTAAGTTGCCAATTGAAATTTCGAGTTGGAGCAATGCCAAAATGCAAATTCTGTCCAATACCTCACTATAAATTTTATTTTACCTGTAGTAATGCTGCCGTTTTCTTGAGTAAGTCCATATTCACGGTTTGATTGTTATATATACTTAGAGAAGTTGCTACAGAAAATGTTGTATTCATAATTGAAGGTCTTTTATTTTTTTGCCGACGCTGATACTGTCTGAAGATTAGTGAATGTGTTTCGGTAGTTCAGTATCAAATTCGCCGTTGAAATCTAGAATCTTGGTGGTTCTGGTGAATGCTGCAAACTGGGACAGTAACGGTCAATTTGAAACGGTGCTTAGCGAAATCTTGAATGAAGACATCCGGGAAAGTGAAGTAGGTGAAAGAAATATTGTAAAAATGTTCCTTATGCTTCATTTTACTTTTTGTGCGAAGTATAGTTTGGAGAATTAAAGATTGTACAGCGTTCTAAGGAGCTATTAAGTAGTGTTGATACAACAGCTATTAGCTATACGGCACCGGGGTGGGCGTAATGGTAGAAGGATTATCTTAATTAATATCAAAATCCCACCAGTGTATTTCGAATAAATGCTTCTGGTAATCTTTTAAACACACCAATCAAATCGTTCATGCCTTAAAATGCTGTGCCAGTTTGTTTTTAACAGGAATTAACCTATTTTTAAAGCTATTCTTTAAAAAGAAACTTGTGGCCGGAATGAATGGCAATGAGAAGCTGCTAGAATTGATTTTTTGGTCCTGAAAAACGCAGAAATGTAGGCTAGTAAATTGGTAGTTCTGCTGCAGGCTGTGAAATATGCCTGCTATTAATATTGCTGATGCTTTTGAATTAACCGTCTATTCTTATATATTTCAGATACATTGGTTCCGTAACAGTCCTCCAACTTGCCTGCCTAGAAATCTTTCGCCATCTGCTGCCTCCCTTTCGCGTATAATTTTGTATTATGGTTACGGAAGAAATATGGATCACTTGATCGCGTATTGTGCCAACTTTTCTTCTTCAAAGCCAAACCGAGTTTTTGTTATCGTACGTGTTTTTATTGTTCTTTTGATTGGCTATAAATGCTTTATTTCAACTCGTTTTTTCGACATTGAGAATCTTTTTGCAATCAGGTTATCCAGGAATTCATGCAAGTTATTTGCGGTATCATAAAGTTTAGTTCAGGTGGAATTAGAGCAGAGTGATGTACCACATGAGACAGCGTTGGCAGCAACTCTGGCACTTTTAACTGATTTGAGCAAGCTGTTATTGAAAGGCAGTGATGTGAATGATTCGACTGGTGTTTTAGGGGGTTTTTTCGTTGTAGTGTTGATATCGACAAGTAATGTTTTTAATTTCGCTTTGATTGCATCTCTCTATACTGACTGTATTGTACGGCAACTTTTAGACGGTACTTTTGAGAGCTTGCCTAGCAACTGTTGACTTTACAGATGCGGTCGTGGGGGGCAGTAGGCGTTTTCTAAAATCTTGTAATTGAAAATGTTGTTTTTCATTTGGTACCAGAAGTCGTGTATTTTTTTAAATTTTGGAAAGAAATGTAGACTATTAATCTCTCAGTCTTATCTTCGTTCTGTATATCATTGTCGATCTTATAATGCAAAAGCTTGGCGAAATTGACTTTGAAATTTTAATATGCAGCTGTTGGTTGTAAGTTATGGGAGGAATAGTGGAGAGTGTTTTTATAGTGACAAAAGCGATGCTGAGCAGTGAAATGAAAGGTTAGTACTTTTCATTGAACTTACAGCTTGTAAATGGTAATAGAACTAAAAGTTTATAACTACGGACAGTGGAATACAGGACTGACGAATACAGTGTCAAAACGTTTATAAGGTCATATAGTGTAGGCATAGTCTAGGCGTTTCTTATATATTACTGGTGACAAGTAGAATTAGCATTCATGAACGTTGTCATATTAGAGAAGTAAAGCTCTTAAGTATAAAAAAAATAAATACTTCTTAAATACTAAAGACTGAACGTTGCGCAGTGGAAACCCATCTTTCCTAAACATATGCCTGTATTGGCAAACCTTTTTGATTTACTGGCAAATATATATATTTTTTGACGAAAAGAAGCTAATTGTAACTGCAGGAAACTCAAAGGGTTAATTTTTTTGTAACATTAAGGAAGTGCAACGAAGGAATTTGTGATCAGTGGATTGTGATGTAGTACAATAAAAATCACTGAGGCACAGTAAGAAAGTAATACACAGGCAATCTGCGCCGACAAATTCTGTTTTTATTTATTTTCTTCAAAACATTTTTACTGGGTAAATGTTATTTGCCTTGTACTTTCTTTCCGGAAATTTTAGGTCTTTCCTCTGTATACTCAAGGCACCTCTTTCACAATTTCAAAGACGCTATTTCATTAGTTGATTTCTTCTGACACCACGCGCATCAGTCCGTTGAGCAGCTTTTTTAACGGTAGAAATTTTGCAGTCTCTCTTAGAAGTTTGGCGGTTGACCTTCTGGCCTTTCTATTGGCTTCTTTAACCATCAATCTGGATATACTACAATTAGTCTGTTCTCTTGTATGTCTTCATAACAGATCCGCGCGCTAAAGACGTTTACGAAGTAGCAGCTGGAAAAGCAAAGTGGTTTTTGAAGTTTATTTTATTTTTCGGAAGTTTTAGACTGCACTTGTTGTACACCGAGCGTTTGGACTGTGCTGAACCGTTGTCGAAATGCTGCAGTTTTGAATAGACTTCGGTTGTTGAAATACAGTGAGCCTTTTTCAGAATGTCGTGCGGCAGTTAAAAGTTTCCATTATATCTTGTGCTTGCTTCGTTGTAACTGTTCCTCAAGTTTTTTGATTTATACTTAGTTCGCATTTGGTTTCTCACTGTACTTGGGCCTGGTAGGGTTGAAATTCTTCGTAGGGGCTTCATTTCTTATCACGTTCTTGCATGATTTCGAAGCAAAGTAGTAGTGATTTTGATATGATAGCCTTTGCCTAAGATATCTGAGCTGATGGAGAGCAGAAAGTTGCATGAGCGATACTTGCAGCGTCTATAACTTTGAAAATCCAAAGTGTCGAAATCTAAAATATGTTGGTGGTTCCTTTCGTTTTTGAAATTCATTTCTAATAAATAGATCGGCGCGTAATTATTTCACCGTACATTTTCTCTTTTGCTTTCATTTTTTGCAACTAAATAAATTGTTAACCTATCCTTTTAGGTACAGTAGAATTTTTTTTACGTAGAAAATACTGTTAGCTGTATTCTTAAGTAAGGAATTAGTCAGGGAAGGTTTTTCAGTCACCGTTTTCACTAACCTTTTGGTCGCTGTAAGAAATGTCGAGGATCTTTTTCTTGTCGAGAGAATGTTCATAGCGAAATCTGAAAAAGAACTAATTTAACCACAAAAAGTCTAGTAGTGCCGTGGTGGCTGTTCAAATTGGTGTAATTAAGGGTAGTATGTGAAGGAAGGTGCATACAGAAAACGAGTATTTTGTTGGTTGTTGACGTCTTCAACTTGGATACAGGGTAAACAAGTGCAAAGTTCAGTTGCAGTTATACGTGAATTAAAAGCTATTTGTTTAAAACGCCATACTGGCGTCATTAAGTGCCACTGCTGAAAATAAGGGTTTAATTTGATTATAGCCACTTTAGCGGGAACTCCAGTTGAAAATATTTCTGGAGATTTGTAACTGGTCGTAATACAGAGAAAAATATTTGTGTTTAAAACTTCTTATTTTTAATAAAGTGATTGAAAATGATTTTATTTGTTGTTTAGCAAACAGTTATTTCTTAGCGACTTAGCTATATGATGATAACTAGTGAATTCTGTTTTTGTAATTTTGGCAGACCTTAATAAAACTGCAAATATCATCAGTAGAGATGGCAGCCAAAAAGTTGGGTTTTTCGACGAAAAAATTGAAGATTTGGCCTTCAATCCTGTTGTGTATAAAGGCATCTAACATGGAGCCAAATTTAAGTAGCGGAGGCAGTAAAACATGCAGGCCAGTGGAGTAAACCGTTTTGCTGGAAAAGATCAGGTCAACATCTCTGGCTTGATAGTAGGCTAGTGCTGCTTCTGTCAGTTCGACTAAGTTGCAAATCTGAAGGCTTTCTAGAGGTTTTAACTGCCTTAGCAAGTGGAGTGACCGCGAGCTTAGACTCCACGGGGCTTCCGCACTCTCTGATCTCAAAGCGAGGAATCTGAAACTTATAGAGGTGCTCAAAAGCGTCTTGTTTGATGATTATTAAGGGTTTTTTTTTGAACTTCAAGTGCTTCAAAATGATATAACCTTAGGCGACATGAATTCTACAGTTTCCAAATCTTTTACCGTGTATCTAATCCACCACAGTAAGTCTTTAAGAAATGAGTAATTTCTATCAGCTTGTCGTCACGGTAAAAGCAGGATTTTCTTCTCTTGTTTACTGTTATCCTAAGACTTCGGACTTGGAAAAACGAAAGGATCTATAAAAGTTTTTCATTAACGGTCAAACTTTTATGTTATCGAAGTCTTATATCGTAGGATATTTTTTTGCGTTGACTCAAAGAAATACATGACTTGTAGTTTGGACTTAAGCAGTAGTGAATGGCAAAATTTTATAATAGTGACCTGTAGAGTTGTTTTAGAATCACAGGGGATCACATTAAACGTTGAATTTTTCTTGGCTTCACCGACAATTTCACCGCATCTCTTACTGATGTTGAATTCTCCAGACCACCACTTTTCAGTAGGAGACCCTGAAAAGGTAGAGCGTAAAAGAAAGATCTGTTAAATAATTTATTCGGAATTGCTCTAAGTTTGTCACGTACGAAGCGGTTATACTTTTGAAGGGGAGTGGAAGTGCAACTTGTGCGAATTTTTCTTTCATATTTAGTTGAAAACTGGAAAAAAAACCTGAATAGGAAAATTGATTCACAGTAAAACGGTAATGGTCAGTGGGGTCTAGGAGAGGCAACGGGTTCTCGATGATTTCATTGAAGGTTTTTCTCTGATATCCGTCATCAACAACGTAAACATCACAGTTAACAGGTATTCTAAATTATGTTAGGGATTAAATTGGGAATCTATATTGAAAAACAGTTTTGACAAGCAACCAAAGATGTGTCTGTTAGCCAGAAAGGCATATTTCAAGTTTTTTTATTTAGAAAACAAAACCAAATTATTTTTTCCAGATAGTTTACTGCTTACTTCTAGGTTTATCATTTAATTTAGATGGATCTTTACTATGTGGCTTAAATGCCGCAGAAAATATTTCTGGCAAAAAAGACTGTTCACTAATCCTTTTTACTGTCCGCAAAACTTGTACTTAGAATGCGCTGAACCAATCTGATATATAGTTTTTGCTACCAAACATTATTAAAAAGGCAGTCGTTGAAAAGGGATTTTGGAAACGGGTTAGTGTAAAAAGTGTTAGTTTTATGACTTGAGTATGGCGGGTCAGTTTTTAACTTTATTTCTGCTCAAATATCGACGTACTATTCTTAGATGTATCTAACCAAGCCTGGTATTTCTTATAGGTCACAAAGTAATTTTTTGATGCATCGAATTTTTTTTT